AGTTTTGTTTATATGAATGACCTCTTCCCACTGCAAACCCTTAATATAATCTCCTTAGGGGCATGGAATGACAGTATCTGATTCTCTTTTAATTTTATATCTGTGTCTTGGAGCACATGTCTGTTATATGGCACATTCTCTATATATGATAAATTGATAAATAATGGCTATTTCTGGGTGAATATAGAGAGGCATGGATGGATTGTCTTTCAGATGCACATTTCATTTGTCAAGGAGAACTTGACTCCTCTGGGTAAAGAGTTCATGAGTGCCTTCAAATTATGTTCTGTCATTGTCAAGTTTCATGAGAATTTAAATTTATTTTATTTCATTTTTGCTCCAATATATTCATCTCTATCACTTGGTGTGATGTAGCAAATGGTGAAAAACATTTAGAAATTTTGATTTTTGGTCAGTTATCACATACTTACTTACCAAGGTTATAAATAAAGCTATAATTAAATAAACTTATAACCTCAGTACCGAGGTTATAAATAAAGCAGGCTCTGGGTTATTTTAAATGTGAGTGTAATGAAACAGAAATCCAATTTCCACCTCACACAGATCTGATGAATTAGGGTAGGTTGTTGGATTTTTTTTTTTTTTTGACAGAAAGTAACAAAATGACTACAGTGACTTCAACAAACAGAATTAGACCTTGTACTCATAATAATTTGGTGGGGAGGTAGAAGGTTCACAGCATGATTCTAGCAATTTAAAATCAGGGCCATGCCATCTGCTACTTTCTTGATTTTCATATCATGTTGAAAAGTGGTCCCTGTGCTCCAACCAGCACTTCATCACTCAAAAGAGGAGAAAGAGAAAATAGGGGAATAGGGCACCAGCATACTTTTACATATGTTTTACTAGCCAGAACTATATAGATGAGCCACTTCTAGCTTTATGGTAGTCATATAACTGGAAAATTTAGCTTTTCAACTCTGTAAAAAGAGGAAGGTAGGAGAGAAAAAATTGTATGTATCCAGGTCAGTCAACAGAGTCTGCCACACCGGTATTCTGATGCCAGTGCTGCTAGAAAATGTAAGTCCTTATCTGTGGGTGGTAGTAAGAAACAGAATCCACTGACAATTTTTTTTTAAGTTTTCTTGAAAATCCACCGCAAAGAAAAGAACATTGGTTATGTATTGATAAGAAATAGGGTCTGAAAAGATAAATAGACTAAGTGCTGATAATTACTGGGAAAAAGAGGAAAATTAATTAATAAACAAATGTGGGAAAAGTGTTCAAGTATTTAAATAAAAAAGCTCTCTTACACCCAGAAAATTGATAAACATATATTCAAACTGATAATATTTAGTGCTGGCTTCCTTTATTCCCAAAGCTGCGGATGTCAAAACGCCTGGTGGAAGTTTATATTGATTCAGACCTTTTGGGAAATTGTTCAATAACATCTGACACAGTAATGTCACTTCAGGGATATATTCCTAATGAACTGATTGAAAATAAAATTGAAGCCATATACATAAAAATGTAAATTATGTCAGTGTTATATATAATTATCAAAATTTGAGAGAAATAAAACTCTAAATGTCTAATAAAGGAGGAAGCACTAAGGAAATTATAATGGAATAAATTTGATGGGATATAATGAAGCCATTAAAAGAATAATTATAACAACCATTTTTTGCAATATGGAAAATGCTCATGCTTTTATGATAGTTAAAGCAAGATAAAATCATGTAATGATGCAATATATGGTGAAGAGTTATTATTGAAACCAGAGGTAGTTACCCCCAAATCCCCAACCCCAGACACTCATAAATCATTGGTAGGATTTGCAAATAAGACACAAATGTTGAAGGAGATAGAGCTCTTATCAAAAAGAATGTCCACATACTAAAAGCTTTAAGAAATCACTGCTACCTACAAAAATGTTTTAAAAACTAATACGTGCCAATAAATTGATGGTAAAATTCCCCTTAGCCACTGTAAGATCTTCTATTTGTCTTTGACCCTATGTAGAAAATTCAGATGTATTTTCATTTCTTTTACATACTTGAAATTTACTGGCAGTATCATTGATGTTTTGTGCAAGTCTAGATAAATACAATTCATTGTCCTTTTGAATACTGATCTTTCTTATTCTCTGACAAGGAAATCAAAAGTGAACTACTTTTGAAGTTATGTAGTCTATTTTTCACTGCATCCTATACACTGCTTTACCTTACTCTCGTGTACTCTATTTCTTCCTTTCATTACAATAAATGCACTAAAATATTTTTTCATATCAACGTTCCTTTCCAGTAATTCTCTCTTCAATTGCATTGAATCT